CATTTAAGAAACAGGAGGCCGAGAGGCAAAAATCATGGCTGTAGTGGGATAATCACTTTGTCTCCTTCTGTGGCACTGACCACGCCCATTGGGGGCGGAGCCAGGGGTGGAAGTGACCTGGGGAAGGAGGTCTAAGGAGGAGCTGGGAAAAGCTCTCTTGCTGGGGGGACTCGGACAGGAGAGCATCGGGTGGAACCTTCTGGTGTTCATCTGTCTAGGTTGTAAGTTATTTCTCCCTGAATAAACACCGATTCGACCTGTTTTTTATCCTGATCCTTATTTAACTTATTTAAACTTGCCACCATTAAGGCAACCGAGCCCCCGTCAGCATCCCCCAACACCCTGTAGTCGACACCGACGGCCAGTCTTAGCGTGTGTACAGTTGTGACAAGCCAACCCCCCCCCCTTACCAGTTTCATAAGTCCACAAAGAAGAGCTAACAATGTCAGAACATGTTAAAAAATTTCGGAACAACTATGATTAACATAATCTAAAAACTAGACTCATACATTGGGGCCTCTCAGATGAAAATGACGTTAGAACCGAGATCATGGCTTTTCTCTCCACTGTGGTCAGCAATTTGCCGGAGAGTTGTGGACACTGTGACTTCCTGATTTTATGACAGCTCCCAAGAGTGCTGCTGATACCACAGAAACTTACTAATCGTAGAGAAAGCAGCTTATACGGCGAAGTCCTATAGCTTGCTTTTCAAGTTAATTAGAGGATAGCAGAGCAAGGAAAACCAGAAAATGTGTCAAGGGATTTATGGAAGTGAACATTTATCTGAAGATATCAAAATTGAATAATGTTTATGAATTAATACTTAACACAAACTGTGGTGATTTCTTCCGTTAGCATGTGTTTATCAAACATTTGCTGTGAACTGTATTTAGGGGCTGGAATATGGTGGTGAATAAGATGTAACTTCTCCTCTTGGGACATAAGATAGGGAAAGTCTGTCTTCTAGAACCTTCTGTGATGGTGGAAAAAGTCTGTCTCAGTGCTAACATTGTAGCTGGTTACCATCTAAGGTTATCAAACACCCCAAATGTGACTAGTGCCTTTGAGAAGGAATTTTAAATTATTTAATTTTAACTAATTTTAAACCAAACAGCACCTGTGGCTGGTGGCTACCATATCAGGCAGGTCGATCACTGTGAGTATCAAGTTTTCTAGAACCATCTGGTCAGAGTGATTTGGAGAAGGGCTCCAAGATCCTGTTGATCATTTGGCACAGATTTCATTCACTCAGACATTTTCAGGATCTTTCTCAATAAAACACATGTGTAGCTTAGCCACAAATCCAAATTGAGGGAGGAACCCTGGTTTGGTCCAGCCGAGTCTGGCAGCCTTGAGGCCTGTTTATTACTTTAGATCCCTCTTGTCACCCCAAGGGAGAGTCACTTGGCACACGCCCTGAAGAGAAAGGGGTCAAACAGTGTCAGGATCACCATAACTCCCCCCTGTCTTCACTCCCTGTGCTCATATACCACACACATGTAAACATGCGGTACTCTGCTCTCCACACGGAAAGGAATTCCTTCCTGGAATGTAGACATGTCATCTTTGGCCATGACGGCATGTACTTGGCCCTGCTCATTCATTCTTTCTTAACCAGCTGTTCTCTGTCTTTGGAATTCGTTCTGAACAGTTCGCATCCTCAGCAGAGAGAACCAAATGGAAACCCCCAGATGCCCTGAGGTCTGTTCTGGAGACCCGGGACGCCAGGTAGGAAATGGAGAGGCAGCACCCCGATGTCCCACTGAGAAGCTGTGACAGGGAGAAGGTGTGGGTTGAGGAGCTATGGGTCCAGTATGGACCTGGGGGTGTCCTCCCTCAGTCAGTTACTCCCCTATTTCTAAACTTTGACTTTGTCCTCAGCCAGACTAAAGAGCCACATCGGACGCAGGCTGCGGTCCATCGTTGGGGGAAGCCTGGGCAGAAACTCAAGGCAGAAACCTTGCTGCTTCTGGCTCACTCACAAGCTCACGCTTTCTCACGCTGTCCAGGGAAAGGTGCTGCCAAGAGTGGGCTGGGCCCTCTCACGTAAATGAACAATGAAGACAATCCCCTACAGACCAGCCCACATTAGACCAATTGCATCCCTCAGCTGAGACTCTCTCCTCAGTTGCCTGTCAGGTTGACAGGATGAGACAGCCAAGAGAGGCTCCATAAGCTGTTCTTATTTTTCTCCTTTATCGTCTAAGTAGATCCAGGAGCGTATAGACAGAAGTTTCAGTCCAGCCGGCAACTCCCAAATAAACACACTGAGACTTCGTATTAGTTATAAGTGCTCTGCCAATAACTCAGGCTTATTACTAACTAGCTCTTACATTTTAAGTTAACCCCTGTTCCTTATTTACACTCTGCCATGTGGCGTTGCTTTATTATCATGGCTCGTTCATCTACTGTCCCTCTGTTTCTGGTTGATGCCTCCCGACTCCACCCTTCTTCCCATCATCTTTAGTTGCTCTGCCTATTCCTGCCTGGCTACTGGCCAGTCAGCATTTTATTAAACCCATTTGAGTGACAAATCTTTACAGTGTACAAGAGGATTATCCCACAGCAGGAGAGGGATGGGCTATCTTTTCTAGGGGCAACTGGGCCAGGCTCTTTGTAGCAACCTTCATAGTCATCTACTTGGAATGGGATCAATATGAGCATCAGTGAAAAAGATCACAGATGAGTTTTTCACTGAGACTGTGTGTGCGCGTGCTTGTGTGTGAGTGTGTGTATGAGTGAGTTTGTATGTGACTGAGTGTGTGCGAGTGTGTGTCTGTGGGTAGCAGGGAGTATGTGGATGGTACAATTCACTTTGGTGAACTTGTGTCAGCCTTTGTCAGGCCTGGCCTGGCGGCTTCTCCAGCCACATCTTAGCTGGTTCATGGGCTGTATTCTCACCTAGATGGCAGAAAACAGCACAGATCTCCATTCCTAGGTCTGGAGTGTTCCTGCTGCTCTTAGGGGGAAGAGGTGACGTTGAGCCCTAGGAGCTCTTCCAGCTCTGGGAAAAAGAAGACCCAGAGGACTTGAGAACACCCCCCCCCCTGCGCCACCGCCGAGGGACAGTGCAGAGAAGGATGAAGTGCTGAGTTCCCACACGATTGCCTCTGCTTCATCTTGACTTAAGGTCTGTTACTGCTTCTTCCAGCTTCCAGCTTAAACTGTAGCATTTCTGGCCCAAGGTGTGGTGATTGTGTGTCTTGGCCTAAGGTGTGGTGATTGTGTGTCTTGCCTAGACAACGGGATATTTGGCCTAAGGTGTAGCCAATGGATGTCTTACCTAAATAATGGGATATTTGGTTTAGGATGTGGTTACTCGGTGTACGGGTTGCTCCTTGTGGAATGGTAAGGAAGTCTTTTGCCCTCCCCTCTTTAACCGGGGTATATAAGAATGTTGAGTAATACACAGTATTACTGGATGCCTGCCCAGTTCTCTCTCGTGTCTCTTGTCTGTTTATTTCCTCAATCCATACTTCTGTAAAGCACAGACTAGATAAGCCTGCTAGACCACAGTTCCCTCTCTACCCCAGCCACCCACAGCGCAGCACATCCTGGAGCCCAGTCAGGAAGGCTGCTTCCCCCAGGCCCTGGGTCAGCCACTCTCCGCAGAGATAGAAAAGCAAGGGGGTGAGGGGGAGGACCACTCTGCTTCCCTCAGCCCCCATGAGGGGATGGGCATGGACCTCTCCACTGACCCTCTAGGACGGCAGAGTATGGAGCCATACTCCTCAATCAAATCCCTTGGGAGTGCCATTAGATTGCAGAGAATCATGGAGTGTGGTCCTCACAACAAGCCTTCCCCCATCCTGTGTCAGGAGGCAAGCTCTGGTTAGGGGCAGGTGGGGGGCAGGGGGTGGGGGTGGGGGTGGGGGGTGGGAGGGGGTGGTGGTGAGGGCCAGCAGTCCTGCCCATCTGCCCCACACTGCAGTGAGCTGGGCGGATGATGGGCTCCTGGGTCCTCAGATTCCTCTTTGCCTCCTGGAGGACACACAGGGATCAGGGGACAGCTGGAGCCCAGGAATCCATCCTGCAGCTGGTTTCAGGCAGTTTTCCCTTGATGGTTATTTATTTATTCGCTGAAGTGGCTTGGTTTCTTACTTATGAGATGTGAAATATTCATGCATACACATTTATGTATTTCCCACGTTCCTTACACACATACACATGTCATACTGGCGTCAATCTAGACAGCAGGAAGTGAGATGTATTCAGTGACCCCTGTGTGCCAAAGGCCTTTACTAATCTAAACCCATACACAGGGCACAGGGCGGGGATTTCCTCTCTAGAGCTGAATTTCACCAAACTTTCAAAGCCTTCATTTTTTTTTTTTTTTTCACACGAGAGGACAGCCTGCCGAGATGTATTTTCTAATCCCCACCCCCACCCAGTAACAACATTCCCCAAGTTGGTGTTCAGCTGACTGACTGTTGCTGCTTTCCTGGTTATTAAATAGCCTTTGAGTCTTTTGACCTCACAGGGCTAATCTGGTAATAAACTAGTCAATTAAGAACATATAAACATGGTTTCCTGTTCATTTTTAGAGTGAGTCAATCTTGGCTGGATAAAGCATCAAACTGCCTTAGCTTCCCAAATAGTTACCGTGTCTTTAAGAAAGCAGGTGTACCGAGACAGGAGTCACTCTGCCTAGCCTGATGGCCCCTGGGCTGCTGAGTCACAGGAAGTGTCCCAGAGGGCAGCCACAGACCTTCATCTCTCTCTCACCTCCTGGAATGAGTAATTCTAACTGGATATTCCTAACAAAGAAGCGATTGTGACCTCAGGAAGCACACAGTGCTATTAACTAAAGATTTACTGAATCCATGTCTGGGGCAAAGTCTCAGAGAAGGCCTTCCATTTTAACTGTGATCCTTAGTCATTATCCCATGGGACCTCAATGCCAAAGAGGGGCCAGTGGCCCCCACTGTTAAGGCAGTATAGGATGCCGTCTTGTCTCCCACCATAGGGCCATGCATGGTCCAGGGCTCCATCCTTCTGCTGCCATGGGCCTGAGGCAGCCCTACTCTCCAGTCCTTTCCTTCTGGCTCTTTCTGATGGCTGGGCTCCTCTTTGGTGTCCTGTCCAGTCCTGGAACACCCTGTTGGGCAGATGCAACCAAACGGTGTTTTAAGGGGCACGTACAGACGGAAGCATGGAACTTTTCCGAGTTTGGGATCCGGCCGATGGAGAGTTTCACTTTCTAAGACACAAGACAGGAGACCATTAAATGACTAAAGATTATCCTTAGGGTCCCATCCTTCATACCCTGGGGATTTGTTCTCAGAGGAAACCCTACGATGAGCTATGATGAGCCAAAGGCAGCCGCACGGATGATCTGTGCCTTCAAGCGGAACATGGACTTTCATTTCTGAAGTCCACTGGCCTAAGCCTCTAGGCAGACTCTAAAAAGTGCTGATGGCTTGCTCGCTCGCTGGCTAGTGTTGTGTTACCTTGACACAAGGTAGCTTCGCTATGGAAGAGGGAACCTCAGTTAGGAAATGCCCCCCACTAGATCGGCCTGAGGACAAGTCTGTGGGACACTTTCCTGATTGATAATTGATGTGCAAGAGCCCAGATCACCATGGGTGCTGGCATCCCAGGGCTGATGGTGCTGGGAGCTGTAAGAAAGCAGGATGCATCAGCCATTGGGAGAAACCTTGTAAATGGCACTCCTCCATGGCCTCTTATCCAGTTCCTGCCCTAACTTCCTTTGGTGATGGAGTGTGGTATGGAACTATGAGAGAAACACAAACCCTTTCCTTCCCAAGTGGTTTTGGTCATGGTGTTTTATCGCCGCGATAGGCGGGATCTAACTAAGATGGGATCTAGCTAAGAGGGATCCAGTGGCTCCAAGAACTCAAAGGGCCTCTGGAACCCCATGCAGCCAAAGGAGACAACCATCCAGGAAAGCCCCAGACAAAAGCAGAAGGAAACAGAAATTAGATGTCTCTCTTGCAGCTAATCATTTCTTACCCCTCTAAACACACACGCCATCCCCTCTGCCTCTTCTCTACCTCACCCTACGCCAGGTCCCATTTCTCGCCACTGTGGCTGAAGTAGATGAGACGGGCTCAGACACGCGAGACACAGGCGTTGCCACCGCGTGTCCTTTCCCAACTTATCTGCCCTTTCAAGAACCAGGTGTTTGCGTTTTAAAAGAGGGCTGGCTATATGTTCTCACATAAAGGAAAGAAGTTTAGAGCGGCGGGGAAGGAGAATTTCCTGTCCCTCTAGACCAATGGTTCTCAACGTTCCTGATGCTATGGCCCTTTAATACAGTCAGTTTCTCATGCTGTGGTGACCCCCCCAGTCATAAGATTATTTTCACTGGTACTTCATAACTACTGTTATGAATGGTACTGTAAATATCTAATATGTAGGTTATCGGATATGTGGCCCCTGTGAAAAGGTTGTTCAACCCACGGTGGTGTGGAGTCCTACAGGTCGCAAACCACTGCTCTAAGTGACCGCGTTGGTGGGGACTGACAGTGGTCAGTATTGTGTGGGAGTTGCTCTCAGACAAGAGCGCGGGCATGGTGCGGTCTAGAACAGCTGTCATGTCATGATGAAGCTCAGCCAGTCAGCCCAGGTGGAGGTGTAGACGTGTGTCCAGTCAAAACCCCTTTTCTTGATTGCTGACCACACCTGTGGATCTTTGGGTCAGGACCAGAGAACTTCTAGAAGGTACACATGGTTTTCTTAACCCTTTGGTCATAGGGTGGATCTCTGGAAGATGCCATGAATTATAAGTTACCAGACTGTTGGACCAGGTCTCGCAACACAACCTCTTCTCTACCACACAAAGTTGTATCAAGGATTGAACTCTTGAGCCAAACACCATCTCCTCTGAGAAACCTTCTGGCTTTCCTTAGAGGACCCATCTATTTTCCCCCTACACTTCCTGTTCGCACCCCAAAACACACACTCTGTTCTAAGAAGTGCCTCTGATACTTGTTCTACCCACCCACTAATCTGTGAGCCACTTAAGTGCAAGCTGAGGCCACTTTTGTAGCCTTTGAACATAACACAGTTTCCAGTATGGAGTAGGGAGACTCAATAATAGTGAGGGAGCATGTGAATGTATGAGCACGGCCCTGCCCCTAACTAGTTTTAAGTCTACTCTAGTCACATGCCTGGCTGACCTTACCCTTTTAGATGACAGCAATAATAACAATTCCTCCAACTGGCAGTCTTATTGAATGACGCGGAAGAAACAAGCTTAGTCCTTAATACACATGATGCATAACCACAGACTCCTGGGTCGGGAGAGTGGTCTTCAGCGTTATAGTTTGTAGAAATTCCAAGTCAAGGCTTTATGTGTTCTAAGAATGTTAACTGGGTGGTCCAATATTTTGGATGTATCTGTTTTATGAAAATGTGAGTGTCCCTAACTGAGGCAGAGCACGTTGTACCCTTCCTCGCCTTTCCCCCTAGTCATAGCCCAGAGATCCAAGAAGTACAGTTTGAGAATCGTAGGAAGGAACGAGTCCTTGCTCTGCTCCTCACCTTAGAGAGAAGCAGCTAAACACAGAGAGGGAAGTGACCCCCATCAGGCTAGAAATCAAAGTGGGCTCAAGCGGAATGATCATCATGAAGACCGCACTAGCCGGGGAGGCCATTTAAACGCAGGGAGACTTAAAGTCGGATGCTCAGTGCTGAGCTATGTGTGATGCTTGCTTTCAATAACTCCATGCAGAGGGCATGGCGCTGTCAGGCTTTGGATGAGAAAACCACGTTCAGAAAGGTGAGCCTCTTGATGTCATATGACCCATGCAGGTAGAGGTAAAGTCACAGTAATCCTGTCAAGCAGCTAGTCTATGTCATGGACACTGCAAGGATGTCACAGCATGTCAACTGGTTCAGTCACTGTCCCTGAGTTTACAGCCCACACGTTAGTCTGGGTCATCGGAGTGCTTTCTGCCCCTCACAGGCTCTGAGGTCAGAAGCCCGGAGCCTGCTCTCCTAGCCCGGTGTTTTCCCAGCAGTGTTTGATAGAAGACAGCATCTCATCCACGCTCTGAGTGCTTCCCAGGCTCCCTCTCAGACCTTGTCCCCCCTGGCACCAGCTTGGTCTGGTCAGGGCTGTTTCACAGGACTCACCTCCTTATGCATACACCGGGTGAGAAATAAGGACACCTCCTCCAGGCTCTGGGGCTTCAGGTCATTCACGGCCAAGATATGATCTCCATGGCAGAATAAGCACCCAAGTCGGGGAGGGCCCTCCCACCGAGCCAGGCTGCAGCGGGAATACAGCATCCCACAGGAAAATGAGATGGACCCACTGTGGGGGCCTGTGAGACTACCCCACCCTGTGCCATGTTGCCCCACATTGGAAGTCAACCATCTCCTTCTGTTTGGATTAACTTCCTCCCTGCCTCCTCCCCCACACCTCCTGCTTCCCTTCCAAGCCCTGCTCCAAGTAAACCACCCCTGCAAGGCCCTGTCAAGTCCAGTCCCTTACTCCCCTTGTAGTTAATCTCTCCTATCCTGGGACTTACAATTATGCACGGTGGGAACACTTTAATTATAGTTCTGAATAAGATGTACTTTTTATATTTACTTATTCATGTGCCTCTCCCTTTTATCTGGCTTTGTGACCCTGGGAATACAGAACCGCCTTTTTGTTCCCTTACTTGGTGTTTAAAAATTTATAACTCCACACAGTTTCAAGCAAACAGGATGCTGAATAAATGTCTGTTGGAGGCTAGCACATAGCGCAACACCATGAATACTTAATGAGTAAACAAGTGGATGGACAAACGTGTAAGCTTGGTCACAGACAAGCCCATGGGCTGAGCAGGAATTTACAAGTCTCAGATTGGAAAAAAAAAAAAAAAAAAAAAAAAAGCTGGAAAAATGGAGAGTTATGGCACTATGGCATTTTCTTTACCTTAGACAGTTACTTTGTAAAAATTCAATTTTCCACCAAAACAAATTAAACAGGCTTATTTGTTTTGAGATGGAGGAGGGTCTCAATATGTAGCTAGAGCTGGCCTTACACCTACGCCTGCTGTGAATCTCATGTTGTCCTTGAATTCTACTCTAGGGAACTAAGATCGCTGCCATGTGCCAACATGCCCACCCACACTCTCAAAGGATGAAGAATCAGATAAATAGTAACTATGTTAAAAAAACAAAAACAGCACCTGCCACACAGACTTTGGGGACAGAGGTTTTTACTGGGTTACAGGAATCTTAGGCTCCTCATACTCATTTTTTTCTTTTAGCTCCTATTAACTTTGCTCTCTCCTCTCAATCGCTGATACTCACTCCGTGGGGCCTGGAAATGGTACCGACCTTCGCAGCATCAGGAAGACCCTGATTCCTAGCCTTTTGGGTTATCTTAAACCCCTTCAAAAGTTGACTTCCCAGGTAGCAATGACCTTTCTGTAGTCCCTGCCCCTGCAGTCTATCAAATGCAGTGTTCCAGAGTGAGTGTGTCTCCCCCCCCCAGCCAGTGTTTCAGAGTGAGTGTGTCTCCCCCCCCAGCCAGCGTTTCAGAGTGTGTCTCCCCCCCCCAGCCAGTGTTTCAGAGTGAGTGTGTCTCCCCCCCAGCCAGTGTTTCAGAGTGAGTGTGTCTCCCCCCCCAGCCAGTGTTTCAGAGTGAGTGTGTCTCCCCCCCCCAGCCAGTGTTTCAGAGTGAGTGTGTCTCCCCCCCCAGCCAGTGTTTCAGAGTGAGTGTGTCTCCCCCACAGCCAGTGTTTCAGAGTGAGTGTGTCTCCTCCCCCAGCCAGTGTTTCAGAGTGAGTGTGTCTCCCCCCCCCCCCCCGCCCTGTTCGGCATTCGGCCTCATCCACGGTCCCACCTACCATATCTGTCCTGCTGCTTCTACAAGAGTGAGATAGTTGATGGTATCCTGAGGAGAGAGGAACACGTCCAGGGTCTCCATTAGGCTCTCATCAGGGACATTGCTGAGACAGAAAACATTTGTTTAAGTCGCGTCAAACAGCCAACTGTCCCTGGTTCTGAGCTATCTTTTCCGAGTGTAGTTTTGGTCTTCTGTTTCTGAGATGACATTTCCCACCTTTAGCTGCTTGTCCAAAACATTTGAAGAAAGGAACATGAACTTAAGGCACTGGAAGTCATGATTACGCCCCTCCTGCCCCTCTTGGAATGTGCTAGTGAGGGAAAAGGCAACTAAGTGTGTTTACAACCATCTCACCAGGTCAGTTTGCATATTTGTTTTCTGGAAACTATTCCATACGAGAGGGCATGGAAAGCAGCTAAAATCACAGCTATCTTGTCGACATCACCTAGGACCTAAATGTCCGCCTTCATATCTGCTCCGTACCTCGGGAGGCTTGCCTGCCCAGCGATGCTAATGGGGGAGGCTGGTGATGCGCGCTGATGCTGGATCAGGTTTTAGGGCTGGAAGGGCTGGCCAAGGGGAGAGTATCAAAACAGTAGGAAAAGCCACTCCCAGCCCTTGGGACCACTCTTCCCCTAATTCTATCATTTACTGCCCATGCTCACAACATCAGTGACACGGAGAAGCCTTGGAAATTTTGAGGAACTACTTTGAAATTTAAATATTAAGTGCATTTAAGGCATCTGTCTTGCTCTCAGGGCCCACAAAGTTTTAGAAATCAGGGCTTTACTTGAGTAATATAGACAATTTCACAACAGTTAGTGAGGCGGACCCCTTTCTGTCGTCTGTGGTTTGTGCTTCCGGATCGTGTGCTTGCAGGGGAGGCCCCTGCTCTGGACTCTCCAGAGGACTCTGGGATTCAGCTTGGCGATCAGCAGATGCAGAGGTTGGTTCTTTGAAGACACTGTAGTATAAGAAGTTAAACAAGGGTCTATTTAAACACTCATAGTAACAGCTTTCCACTCTACCTGTCAAGTATGAGCATCTAACAGCCGTAAGAAGTCTATTCGACCACAGAACCCACCGGAGGCAGAGCCAAAAGCAAAAACACCCAGAGGACTTCTGAAGACAGAAGTGTCCTGACTGTCACAGGTGGCCTTGTGTGGGCTAAGACACGATCACCACATTTCCTTCTCCCTTTGTCCACAGGTCGAACTCCCTCCACTTAAGCGTCTGCGATCTGAAATACCGCGTCACAATACATCGCTGCAAATGGGGGCATCCACACCATCAAGTTTTCTTTCCTGAACAAAGTCATTTTCAAACAGTTTTGCATAAAATTGTCATCAGGTTATGTATATAGGGTACATATGAAAATATGAATCATGCATGTATTTCATGTTTAGAGGAATTCTACTCTCCCAAGAGGTCTCATTATGGGTATGCAGATATTCCAAAATAAAAAAAGGAAAACCTTTTGAAACCAGAAACTTTTATAATCCTAACTGTTTCAGATAAAGGCCATCCGGCCTGAATCAATCAACGTGTAGACTGCAGTCTTTGGTGATGTTTGTAGCAATTTGTCAACAGTTAAAAAGTGAACTGGGGGCTGGAGAAATGCCTCAGTGGGACCTCAGCTTGGATCTCCAGGGCCCATGAAAGGCCAGGCGTGGTAGTGTTCCTCTGCAATCCCAGCGCCGCTGGGACAGGATGGGATGCGGGGAATCCTCAGAATCTCATGAGCCAGTTCACATGGTAAATGCAGGGCAAACGGAGACTGACTCAGACAAAGCAGAAGGTGAGGACCAACACCCAAGGCTGCCCTCATGCATGTGGCTCATGCAACACCACATGCACACTCACACATACACACAAGCACGCACACTCATACATACACACACGCACACACACGCACACACACTCACATACACACACTCACACACACACACACACACGCACACACACATGCGCACCCACACTCACATACACACACTCACACGCACACCCACATACACATGCACGCACACTCATACATACACACACACTCACACACGCACACACACTCACACACACATGCACAAACACACTCTCACACGCGCACACACACTCACATACACCCACACGCACACCCACACGCACACACACATACATGCACACACACATGCGTACACACAGACTCACAACACACACGCACATACATGTACTCACATGCACACACACTCACACACATATGCACACATACACACGCACACACTCACGCATGCATACACACAGACTCACAACACACGCACACACACACGCACTCATGCACACAATGCACACACGCACTCACACATGCACATACACACTCACACATGCACTCATGCACACAATGCACATACACACTCACACTCACACATGCACACACACATTCACTCACACACACATGCACGCACACCATTCATATGGTTACAGTGAACTGGTGGTAATTGCTCTATTAAAAGTCGGTTAGTTAAAAGCAGCATTTAGAGGACATTTAGACTCACCAGGATCTCATTGACATGTAATAGCTCTCAGAGTTCTTGGAATCTTGGTCTGATTCAATGGAATCACCAGAATCGTTGGACCCAGCGATGTTCTCTAACTAAAGATGAGAAGAATAGACGTAAGCAGACAGTTCTGCAGCTGGCCAGGACACTGTTCTGCGTCTGGATAACACACCTCCCATCACAAAGACAGCAACTCTTCGGAGAATATCAACAGCCTTAGCCACAGGAGAGACTCTAAGCCTGTTTCCCTTTCTGGGAGCCCTCATGTCCCATTCCAGATACATATTCTACAGGGCAGCTTTGGATTTTCCTTTCTGCTTCATTCCCAGCCATGTAATGTCATGAGCCTCCCCCCCCCCATAGTTGATTCTATGGGTCATGGAAGCTGATTGCGTCAAAGACTAGACACAGTAACCACTGACACTTCTCTCTAGCTCGCCTTGACTTGTAATTGCGGTGCAGCTTCCAGTCAAGACTCTCCGCCACACAGCTGTCTCTTCACCAAAGGCTGTCTTCTTTGCCTGGGTTCCCTTTTCTTCTCCTTTCCAGCGATGTCCTGTTGTTACCCCACATTCCTGAATCACCTCAGCCCTCAGCCCTGTGGTGGAGTTTCATCTCCTTCCCCAGACACCACATGCCACAGAGTGTCTACAGCCTATCCTTTCTACACACGCGATTGCTGGGTTGTCCCAGAGAACACGAGTGTGGAAGCATTCTTGGTGAAGGAGAATGTTCTATGCTTGAGAGGCCACAGACAATGCCTTGTGCTGTGCACTTGGCTTCGTACAATGCCGGGCTACATCCAAGGCCTCTGAGAACTTTGTTGTGATGGATAGCTTGTTTAAGCCTCTTGTAATTTAGCATTTCCATAACCGATGTGATCCCAGCACCCATCTTTTTACCATCTAGTAGAAAATCCCCAGTTTTGGAGACAATGCTACTCTCCCACCATTTTGTCCTGTCTCTCCATTGCACATTCTACATCCGTGTCTACCGCAGGCACAGTTTCTTGGCCAATGGGCCTAGAAGTGAACTCATGTTTTGCTACGTGCCTGTTTAGAAGCTGATTTTGTCCCTGTGCTTCTCACGGAATTTCCTACTCTGCCATTCACTCTCCGCACTGTGGCCCACCTGAGCAATTCGCCAGACATGGCAGATGCCAGCCATCTCTGAAGCTCGCTTTGGCTCAAATGGAAAAAGAAGGATCTGCCCTATATCTGACGATCGCAGACCACTCTGTGCCTCTTTGTGTAGCCTTATCTCTGCTAGCAGAAGCTGTGGGCTCTGAAGTATGGGGACTACAAAGCTCCTCCCTGTTGTCTCCATGCTGGGCACAGTGCAGTGTCTAGAACTCAGAAGGGCTTCCGGTTACCAACAGGCTGCCACACATGCACCCACAGCTGACTACCCAATGCCGTCCACTCTTTTCCTTTCAGTCCAGAAAACAGAACGACTGTTAAATTCCACTCTGCCCACCCAGCACTCCACTGTCATCTCCTCTGTAGATCTCTCTCTGGTCTTCGGCCTGCAAACCAGTTTGCTCTTCCCGCCACTGGTACATTGCAGGCGTTGCATAAGCACGCCTTGTGCTATGGCTGGCTCCTATTCAGGCGCCAGCACCATGAGCAAGCCATCCATCATCATCTACAGCTTTACCTTCGCGCCGTCCTGCTCTGAGCCCATTGCTCCCGCAGCACTGAGTGGCAGAGGCTCGAGCAGGACATGTGGAAGGCATGAATGGGTAGTGAGCCGGGGGAGGGACTTACTTCTGAAAGGATGCTTCGAGGAGAGAGATAGTAATTCTCTTCTTCTGTATCTTGAGTGGGCTCTGAGTGGAAATCGTGTTCTTGGTGAGGATGAGTTTGCCTGAGTCCTTGGGGGCATTTTTGTATTAAATGCTGAATAAGGAAGGTGCAGACGGAGTTAATGAGTTCCTTCCCTCCTTCCCTCCTTTCTTCCTTCTGCCCTCCCTTCCTCTCTGCTTCCTTCCTCCCTCCCTCCCTCCCTCCCTCCCTCCCTCCCTCCCATCCTTCGTATAGAATTAATCCAACACTTTCTAGCAAAAGTGTAATAGATTAGTTGGGTTGACAAGATAGGAGGCTGTTTCAGTACGACATGCAGAAGCCCACACAAACTGAACTTGCTTCTTCAGTTTGGGTCACTGTGATGGTGTGAATGCATAAACATAGCTAATACTTGGAATTTTTCTCTACTGTGCAGAGTTATAAATCAGAACAAGAAAATTCTCTGCTATGGGTGCATGGTAAGGCAAGGAGCTTTGTTAAGGCATCTCCGCCGCCATCTCTTTCCAGTCGCCTCTCAGCAGCCTCTGAGGAGGTAATTAGTCTGGAGGCACTGAACCTCCCCCTTCTAGCTCAGGCTTCCTCTTTTGTGTTCTGTCTTGTCTGTCTCCACAGCAGCACAATTAGGACACGTTGGCTATGTGACAGAGTGAATTATAGGCTTCCAGGTGACATAGATGCAAGCAATTAATTATTGCCCCCCTCCCCTAACAGACACCAGATACTCCACTGATGTAGCTTCTCTGCACAGCATAGGAATTTTTATGAGTGCAATTTAGTTACTCCAAGAGCAATGCTGGATGGGAGGGGGGTGCTTTCATAAGACCCTGAATGTTTGATAGGAATTCCATGGAAGGTTGCTCTGTGTGTGTGTGTGTGTGTGTGTGTGTGTGTGTGTGAGAGAGAGAGAGAGAGAGAGAGAGAGAGACAGACAGACAGACAGACAGACAGAGCACCGTGCAAGAGACATTCAAAGGAAACTTGCAGTTTTCTAGCCTTTGTGTGAGCTACCGATAAGGGCAGGATAATTTTCTTGTAAATCTGGTGGCAGCAGGAAGCCATGCTTCGTGGCAGCCCTGCAATCACAGAGGGAGGCATTAGACCCTGCACAGTGTGCTGTGTTGCTAAGCTGTGGTGTTCAGAAAGTCAGCTGCATTAAATGCACTTTCCATGTATTATGAGTTTATCAGGATATAACCCCCCCCACACACACATGCACACCAGAAGCTCACAAGCATACTTAAGTCATGTCTAGCTCAAAGCTCACTGCCGTGGGATGACTGTCCCCCTCTGAAATGCACATTGAAATTTAAATGCCATTTTTTTTTTTACAGCATTAATGGACAGAACTTTAAAAGATAGTTAGGTCCTGGTGGTTATGCCTTCGTGTGTTCCTGAATGTCGTGTCTGAGAGGAAGGTTGACTTCACCCCGATTACCTCTGCCTTGCCTGCCTGCCTGTCACTTGATGAGTCAGCAAGAAGGGCCCCCACCAGATGAGACCCTTTGATCTGGAACTTCACAACTTTCAGAACTGTGGAAACCAATTGCTGTTGTTTAGAAATCCCTGGTGTGCCATGATATTCTGTTGTGGTTGCTAAAGAACTCTGGAGCAGGATTATGCTGGGTTGGGAGTGAAGAGTTTCTGATGTACCAACAACATCAACAAAACCCAGCAAGACAAGTCTTTAACTTGAGAAGGTTGAAAAAAATAGTATTTGGTCTCAGTAAATATTGGAAAAAGGCAAAAGCTACCAGTAAGGCTCCTGGGGGTGGGGGGAGGCAGGAGAGGGGTTCATCGTGATTGGAAACTTTGTTCAACATCAGTCCACCTGCCTTGTGTCAGACCACTGTTTTGCTCACAGAATGGCTGAGATGAGGTGTTTGGCCTGGTGGTGTTGATGTGCCCAAAAAGCTTTATAGTGTTGCAAAGCTACCAGCTAGATGACTGGTACCAACAGAGAGAGGGTTGCCGGTGGGGTTATCTCTAAGAGATGTTACTCATAAGAGCCAAATCTAGAAATGCAGCGAATCCAGAAATGTGTGGGCACAACCCCGTGCCCTTCCTGGGGCAGGCATGCGATTTTGCCCCCTCACACAGGTTGCACTGGGAGTTAAGCGGCTATGACACATAGAACGAGAAGCCAGGCTGATGGCATGACTGAAGGGAAGACTAAGACACCCCACCTTCCCTGAGGGCGTGGATGGCACCACTGGAAATCAGGGTTCCCCAGGGGACCTTTGTGTCCTGCGTGTGGATGGAGGGCAGGCAGCTAGCTACACTTAGGGAAGGAACGCCAGTCTGTCAAGGCCTTCAAAGGGAATGAACATCTTTAGAGTCAGCTAGGCAAGTAGAAAAGCCTTCCTGTGGAATAGGAAATGAGCAAATATGCCTAAGTATTAAAGTCAGGAATCCTCTGTGTGTGTGTGTGTGTGTGTGTGTGTGTGTGTGCGCACGCGCGCGCGTGCATGGGAAGGTCAGAGGACAATTTCAGGTACTGTTTCTCAGAAGCATTCACCTTGTTTGTTTGTTGATTGATTTCCCCCTATTGGCCTGGAACTCACCCAGTAGGCTAGGCTGACTGTCCAGCAAACCCCAAGGATACACCTGTCCCTGCCTCCTTGCACTAGAGTTATAATGTGTGTCACCACAGCGTCCTGGGGAGTCAAAGCCAGTCCTTGTGCTTACAAGGCAAATGCTGCTCTGACAGAGGGAGCTGTTGCCTCAGCCCCAGGAATGATGGGAAAGATGGACAAGGTCAATGTCCGCTGCTAGCCAGTGGCACTACTCAGCGACGGCCAACTCCCTGCGGCTGTGTCCTAACACAGTAGGAGGTTTCGATTACCACATCCGGAAGGCTGGCCCTTGGTGATGCAAGGCCGATAATGTCCCGTGCACCGCAGAGACCAAAGGAAGGACTGGGGTCGGAAACTGGCCTTCGGTCACCCAGCCAAGGCTTCTCCTGCTTAGGAAAAAACCAGTTAGAACGCAGAGGCTGTCTACCACTGTCCCTTTGCTACTCTGACTGCGGCCTCCCTTATCTCCAGGATCTCCCCAAGGCTTTGACATTGGGGCTGCCCGCTAGCCAAGGCAAGGGCTGATCATGTCAGTGTGACTTTCTCCAGCTCGCCAGTCCCGAAAGACACCCAGCCTGGCCTAAACAGGTACCCGAGCCCCCCCCCCTTCTCCATTGTGTCTCACTTCACACCCCGTCTTTCTTCTCTTAGCATTGAATCTACCCAGAGACATGCCTTGATCTCTCCTTCTCTTTGTCATTTGCTACAAGCATGGAACAATCTGGAAAACACATCTATAAATGCATCCACACCCAAGTCCCCTCTGTGACGGTCTCCAAGAAAGGACCGGGGGGGGGGGGGGGGGGAATTCACCTGGCCCCTTAGGAGATCGGTTAAAAGCTGCTTACCTGACATGTGAGACATTACATTAAAATGCAAGGCAGACGAAAACAATGTTTGACAGACGCCTCCCTAGACTTGGTCATTCAGAGGGAAGCTGGTTATGTACCGAGAGTCACAATAGTGGAAAATAGTATACTTCAAGCTACTGTGAAAAATTGCCACCATTAATTTCACTCCTCCTACCGTAACAATGGCAACATAATTTAGCGCTCTTACAAAACAAAAAATAAAAAGTATTTTTCCTTCTGTTAATTGTACAAAAAACAAGGGCATACGTTTCCTTGCTCACTTATTCCCTGTATTAACATCGGTTGCCAAGGAGAACAAAAGAGCCATGCCCTGGAAAGAGCCGTGCCCTGGAAGGAGCGTCATTGGCTGTGTAGAGTTACCTCTGTATTCTGACGAGCTGTTTTTGCTCCCTGGCAATATGGTGACATGTAAGAGACCCAGTCTTTGATCTTCTCCCTGGGGGTGGGAAGAGAGTTTCAGCTAGCACTGGCAACAATGTTCCCAAACTCCTTCTGAGCCCAGCAGATTCTCCGATTGCTCTTTGGGGTCAGGCGCCCACAAAACAGAACTCTTTCCCCCAGGTAGTTTGGATGGCTCACTTCTCCCTGGCTGCCCCTGTGTCTACACAGGTGAATTAACCCTCCTGGCACCTCCAGCAGGGAGCCCGGGGTGCAGGGCTTCTGATTCCCCTGGTGTCTGCCCCCTTCCACACCCTCCAGCCTTCCCCACCCCCTCAGGAAGTGTACTTTAGGAACAGTGGCATATTGGTTAGGTTTTTTTTTTTTTTTTTTTTTTTTTTTTTTTTTTAATCAGCTTGACACAAGCCCAGGACATCTAGGAAGAGGGAAACTCAATTGAGGAAATTCCTCCATCAGATTGATCTATGGGCAAGTGTGGGGTATTTTCTGGATTGAATATCAGCATAGTAGTGCCCAGTCTAGTGTGCACTGTGCTGCCTGTGGGCAGAGGGGCCTGGGTGCTATAAGAAACATCCCCCTTTACAATAGCCACAGACAACATAAAGTACCTTGGGATAACTCATACCAAACAAGTGAATGACCTATATAATAAGAACTTTGTGTCTTTAAAGAAAAAAATTGAAGAAGATACCAGAAAATGGAAAGATCTCTCATGCTCTTGGATAGGTAGGATAAACATAATAAAAATGGTAATCTTGCCAAAAGAAATCTACAGATTCAATGCAATCCCCATCAAAATCCCAGCACAATTCTTCACTGACCTTGAAAGGATAACAATCAATTTTATATGGAAAAACAAAAGACCCAGGATAGCCAAAACAGCCCTGTATAATAAAAGAACTTTAGGAGGCATCACCATTCCTGACTTTAAGCTCTACTACAGAGCTATAGTTCTGAAAACAGCCTGGTATTGGCACAAAAATAGACAAGTAGGCCAATGGAATTGAATTGAAAATCTTGATATTAACCCACACACCTATGAACACCTGATTTTCGACAAAACAGCTAAAATTATACAATGGGGGGAGGAAAGCATCTTCAACAAATGGTGCTGGCACAATTGGATGATCGTGTGTAGAAGACTGCACACAGACCCATGTCTGTCGCCATGCACAAAACTCAAGTCCAAATGGATCAAAGACCTCAATATAAATCCAGCCACACTGAACCTCTTAGAAGAGAAAGTGGGAGGTACCCTTGAACAAATTGTTATAGGAGACCACTTCCTGAACATAACTCCAGGGGCACAGACACTGAGATCGACAATTAACAAAGGGGATGTCCTCAAACTTGGAAGCTTCTGTAAGACAAAGGACACAGTGGACAAGACCAAATGGCAGCCCACAGACTGGGAAAAGATTTTCACCAATCCCACATCTGACAAAGGGCTGATCTCCAAAATATACAAAGAACTCAAGAAACTAGTCACTAAAACACCAAGTAACCCTATTAAAAAATGGGGTACAGAACTTAAGAGAGAATTCTCAGTAGAGGAAATCAAAAAGGCTGAAAGACACTTAAGATGTGCTCAACATCTTTAGCTATCAGAGAAATGCAAATCAAAACAACTTTGAGATACCATCTTACTCCTGCCAGAATGGCTAAAATTAGAAACACCAATGATGACTCATGCTGGAGAGGATGTGGAGAAAGGGGAACACTCCTCCACTGCTGGTTGGAGTGCAAACTCATACAGCCATTTTGGAGATCAGTATAGCGGTTCCTCAGGAAAATGGGAATCAGTTTACCACAGGACCTGGCAATCCCCCTCTTAGGCATATACCCAAATGATCCACATCCATGCAACAAAGACATCTGTTCAACTATGTTCATAGCAGCAGCATTATTTGTAATAGCAAGGACCTGGAAGCAACCTAGATGCCCCTCAACTGAAGAATGGATAAAGAAGATGTGGCACATTTACACAATGGAATACTACTTTTTGGGAAAAAAAAACAATGGAATCTTTAAATTCGCAGGCAAATGGATGGGACTTGAAGAAACCATGCTGAGTGAGGTAACCCAGTCACAAAAAGAGGAACATGGTATGTACTCGCTCATATGTGGATTTTAGACATAAAGCAAAGGATCACCAGCCTATAATTCACACCACCAAAGGAACTAGGATACAAGGTGTATTCTAAGAGATTCATATAAAGTCCCTCACAGAAGGGGGAAGGGACAAGTCCCCCAGAGCACAGGGGAAGTGGGGGGGGCAGTGAATGGAGAGAGGAGTAGGAGAAATACGGGGAGGAGAGGAAAGCACGTGGAATTAGGGAGATTGAGCCAGAGTAGGAATAGAAGACCTAAGAGAGAGAGAGAGAGAGAGAGAGAGAGAGAGAGAGAGAGAGAGAGAGAGACCATATAAGAGGGAGCCATTATAGGATTGAAGAGAAAACTGAACCTAAAGAAATGGCCACATACTTACAAGACTGCCGCCAACTAACAATCTGAGCAACCGTGGAAAGTCTACCATAAATGCCCTTCCCTGATAATGAGATCAACAACTAACTTATCCACCATCATGGAGTCCTCACCTAGTATAGGTTGGAAACAGAAGCAAACACCCACAGCTAAACACTGCGCCAAACTAGAATCCAGATGCAGACGGAGAGGACAAGACCATGCGGCAGAAACACATAGAGACAGCTGACCTGAACAAGGAGGAGCTAACGGCCACTAGACTGATAGCTGGGAATCCAGCATGGAACTGACTCAGGCCCCCCTGAATATGGGTCTCAGCCAGAAGGACTGAGCAGTCTAAGGGACCTCAGACAGTGGAGCCAGGATGAATCCCTGGTGCACAAAAGGACCTTGCGGACACATCCCTCATGGAGGGATAACTGCCTTAACCTAGAGACAGGAGAGAAGCCCTAGTCCCTACTTCACATGACCTGTCAGATCTACATGACCCCAACTGGATGGCATTGTCCTACATATGGAATTGGGGTGGGGGGATGGGAGGGGAGGGTGGTTAGAGTGCATGTGAGAGGGCAGAGAGGGTAAAAGGGAGGGAAGGAGGGAGGGAGGAAAGAGGGGAAGGAGGAAGGGAGGGAGGGTCAGGGAACTGGGATCGATATGTAAAGTAAATAAATAAATTAATTAATTAATTAAAAAGTAAAAAAGAAAGAAAGAAAGAAAGAAAGAGGCCAAGCAAGCCATAGTGCGCAAGCCGGTGAGTACAGCTGCACACTCCATGGCCTCTGCATCAGCCCCTCCTCCAGGTCCCTGCCTCAGCTTCCTACCCTGACTTCCCCCAAGGATGGGCTGTAACGGGATGGACTTGTAAGCTAGTGCGCCCACCCCTCAGGAGTCGCGCCATGTCAGGGTTGGTCACCGCAGACAGAGAAGGGACAAGGCCAGTGAGCCTGAGTGAATGGCTACAGCCTCTCCTCATCTTCTCCTCTGCTGCCTTACGTGACCAGTTCCAAGAAAACTTTGCAGCTTTGTGCACAATTTACAAGAAAACTTGGGCTTCATGCTTGGCTTCCGCCTCTGGCTTCTCCTCCCACACCACAGTCCCTCTCTCCGGCAGACAAGCGGGTGTGAGAATCCACGTGGGCCTCTCTTAAAATCTGCAGATGCGTCCAGGGTGAGCACGGCCCCTCGCCCTCTCTGCAGCTCCTACAGATGGTTTTGTTTTTTTTTCTTCTTCACGGAAGGCATCTGGGTGATAGTGACTGTTGTGGCTGGCTTTGTGACCCTCTCCTGAGCTACTGTGTCTTAGTTCCAGCTCCCAGGTCTCAGATGTGACCTTATGCAGAAAGGGACTATTTACAGAACTAACCGGTTAAGTTTAGATCATAATGGAATAGAGGTACCTTCTAAACTAGTAAGACTGGCATCTGTGAAAAGTAAAAAGGAGAAATTTGACCCAGCGATGTGTGAATATGGGGAATGTCATGTGGAAGCCAGGGTTTGGCTGCTGTAGCCAAGGCAGCACTGGCAGTTCTGAGAGAGAGGTTAGAGAAGAGCCTGCCTTCCACAGAGCTTCACAGGGGTGGCCATGCCTGGCTGCTGACTCCCAGCCTTCAGAGGTTATAAACCTCTGCTGTTGTAAACACGTTACAACACTCACAGGTAGCTAGCATGATTCTTTATTTTAAGAGCCAGGAAGGAGGCTTATCTGGCACTTGCTGTGCAACCATGAGAATCTGAATTTAATCCCTACAGAAGATCCAGGCCTGGTGGAGTGTTTATGACACCAGCTGCAGAGGCAGAGGCTAGCAGGTGAGTCAGCCTAGCCTAATTCAAGTTCAGTGAGGGACCCTGTGTCAAAAAACGAAGTAGACCTTCACACCCACACACACATAAGCACACACTCACATGTGCAGCCAGCCACACACTTATGTGCACACACACACTTGCATGTGCACAATACATGTGCGCATACACATGTGCACACACTCAGATGTGCAACCACACATATACACACATGCACACACACTCATGTGCAGCCACACACATATACACAAACACTCATATGTGTACACATACTCACAAGTCCAGCCACACATGTATGCACACACACGAGCACACACTCACATGTGCACGCATACCCACATTGCAGTAACACATATATGCACACATACATGCACACACACTCACATGTGCAACCACACACATGTACACACACATTCAGATGTGCGACCACAATATATGCACACACTCACATGTGCACACATGTGCAAACACACATGTGCTGTGCAAGTACACACATGAGCAAACACACATGTGCTGTGCAAATACACACATGAGCACACACACAACCACTTTAGCATACAAGGAAGACCAAAGCTCTGCATTTGCAGCCTGGTTTATGTTTACAGCCTGTCTGTTGTCTAAAGGCTCACGATGCCTTTGCTTCACACACAGCAAACATGCCACGGACATGCCTTTGCCATCGCACCACTCACCTGTCATGGCCAATGAGGAAGTAGTCCCTGCTCACGGTTCTGATGGACATCACTTCGTTGGGGTGGCACTTGAACATCTTCTGCACAGATTGCATCTTCTCCTGGCTATTTATACCAACTTCTATGGTGGTGCTTCTGAGACAGACACAAAGTAACTAAGTTGATAGATACACAGAGCAACTTAAGTTAAAAACAGACTCCTGTTTTAAATTGGGAGTGAAGCTGAACATCCCATTGACCCACATTTTAAAGACTGTCTAGTGCACGTCATAAATCTCATTTGAATTCTTTCTATTTTAGAAAATAACTCTGGATCTGGTTCATCAGTAATTGAAAATGCTCTGTTCAGCCTGAAATTCAATTCTGAAGTTTCTATTTGGGTTGGGACCCTGAGTCCACAAATTGCTGTATTTTCCAGTGTTCCTGGTACATGACTTCTGAAGAAAAGACGAAGTATAGTTGATCTAAATATTTCTTGAACTCCACCTTGGCTCTATGAAATTGGATTTCAGGGGCTCTAGCTCACTGGAAAATTAAGTGAGACAAGTCTTCAACCAAAAGCAGAATTAGTGATGCCCCGCCTGTAACATACAGTATGAAGTAATGACCTCACTTTTGCCTACACCGATCATAGTTTCAGTTCTTTTAGAGGCACAGATGCCATGGCAGGGCTGAAGCCCTTGCTGCTTTTTGTCAGAGACTCAGGGTTCTGTGTGGCTTGTTTAGTGTTTGACTTGGGGGCGTTTGCTGCCGTGCAGGTTCCCTGGTTCAGATACACACCCATCCAGCTCGATGGAGCCTCGTTGTTGATGGTCTTTGTAATAGGAAAGACTCAGGCCCTTTGCCCCATTCTGGGACAGGATAAAAAGCCTCTTTTTCCAGGAGGTCTGAAAAATGAAAAGGTTTTGCTGTTCAGTTAAACCTCAGCAGATGAGCAGGGACTTTTTTTCCCAATGCTCAAGAGCTGGTGGGAGGCTGGTTAAACCACAGCCAGTGCTTTACTTACCGCAGAGAAGAAAAGCTGAGGGGGCGGAGACTTAATGAAGTAATCTTGTTTATGGACCTCATTTCCATAATCAAATGGAAATTGTTTGCCTAATAAAAGAAAGCCAAGAGGATTCAGTTTGTTCTCTCATAAGTTTCAGAAAAGAATGGCTTTATTTGGAAAGCGTCATTTATCTTCAAATTATTCAGCTATTCCAAAGAACATGCACAATAGCTGTCCCCCCCCCCAGGGTCCTTTCCCCCCCCAGGGTCCTGTCCCCCCCCCAGGGTCCTGTCCCCCACCCCTACAAAAGACCACATGAAGAGCAACAGCTGGTGCCACCATTCGGATGTCTTTAGTGGCAGCTTCATTGGGCTCACACATGCCTGGCTTGGTTTCTACACCTTTCTCTCTTGGGGCCACAGAGCAGGAAATGCAGGAGGCCTCATCAGCACAGATGGATGCCAAGGTCTCAGCTGTGCTCTCTCTCTCTCTCTCTCTCTCTCTCTCTCTCTCATACCACCTGAACTCCATTTTCACCCAGCAGGCTTTAATCCTGTGGTAAGGTCTGTCTTTTCTGAACCCAAAGGCAAACCAGACCCACAGCCAGTGATGTCAGAGACAAATGTGTCCTTAAACACAATTTTAACAGCACTGTTTTCCTAAATGAAAGTAGCATGTAGTTCATTCAGCCAGCTTAGAAACCACAAAATAATGTTGATATGATGACGATAAAAACTGCCTTTAATTCCAAGAATTACAATGAAACAGTTAATATTTAGGAGTCTCTTTACTGCTTCTGCCACCCCAGTTTCCACAACAGGTATTTCTGCTTTTATTTGTTAAACTGTGTGTGCATGTTTAGTACATGAGCGTGTGCACACGTGGGCATGCATACACACACACACACACACACACACACACACAAACTCTTCCTCACACACTAGGACTATTGATCTATACAATGTGCAAGACACAGAAGAGTTAGGAGAGATCAGAGCACCCCACCCACATTGGACAAGAAGAATGTATACTCTCTCCAACTATGCAGGACAAGGTTGTAATTCATGGGACATTAGGTAGAATACTGAGGACTGTGCCAGATGCCCCTAACAAATCATAAAGGCAAGTCTTAGAAGACCAACTTGTTCCCAAGAAACTTAAGGTTTATAAGGTTTATAATTCAACTAGCTGAACATAGCAATGATCTGTGCAGATTATAATGATGTGTAAATGATGTGGATCTCAATAGCAGTGTAAAAGCTAGGGACGGAAAATGAGACTACATCTCTGAACGAGTCTGGATTATCTGTGAACTAATATACCATTACTTGGGGTTAGGCTGTTGTGTGTTTAAAAATATATGAGCACTAAAATAGTGGCTAAAATAATACGGCACAGTTTAATAAGCTAATGAGACAGATTCACAAGAATTGGTTCACAAGAAAGTGGAAAACGTGATGACGATGGGGAGGAGGCAGGCCAAACGAGGAAAACAGAAAACCGCCATATGATACAGTCAAGCCTGAACACAACAGTCGCGCAAAATCTAGATTGCCCAAGCACCTGAACTAAAAGGAAGACGTTGTCAAGTGAGATAAAATAGTAAGACCCAACTCTGTGCTGCTCATGAGAAACACATTATGAGTGTAAGAGACACAAGTACAGAAGAAACCGTGTGTGTCTCAGTCAGGGATTCTACTGCAAAAGCAACTCGGGAGGGGTGGTCTGTTCAGCATATACTTCAGATAACTGTCCATCACTGAGGGAGGTCAGGCAGGAACTCAAGGCAGGAATCTGGAGACAGGCACTGAACCAGAAGCCATGGAGAGGTGCTGCTCACAGGTTTGCTCCTGGTGGCTTGCTCAGCCTCTTTTGTGTGAGTCAAGGCCACCTGCCCAGGGTTGGCCCCACCCACAATGGGCTGGGCCCTCCCACACCAATCATTAGTCAAGAAAATGCCCCCAACAGGCCATATGGTGGGGGCATTCTCTCAACTGAGTTTTCTTCTTAGAAGAGGATTCCGCCACGTACAGGGGATTCTGCCACGTACAGGGGATTCTGCCACGTACAGGGGATTTGGCCACGTACAGGGGATTTGGCCACGTAGAGAAACAACAAGCAAAGAAAACCCTAGGCAGAACAACACCCCTGTTAACCCAGGTCCCAAGAAAGCAGAGTGGCTACAGTGTATCACGCAGATTTCAAAGCAAGGAATAGTGCCAGGGAATAAAGGTCACTTTATAATAATATAGGAATCAATTACTCCTAAGAGGTCATAATAACAGTAAACATGTATGTACTGAGTAACAGAGCTTCAAACATGAAGCAATACCTAACAGAATCACAAAGAAAAATAGACATTCAAAATGAAAGGCGCCCTCCCCCTTAGTGCCCTCCCCCTTAGTGCCCTCCCCCTTAGTGCCCTCCCCCTTAGTGCCCTCCCCCTTAGTGCCCTCCCCCTTAGGCGCCCTCCCCCCTTGCCCTTCACCACCTGAGGCAGGCAGGGGACTGACCCAGCCCCCACCCCCAACTGCAGCACTCAGGAGAGTGGGCCCTGACCCTCACCCGGGCAGCACAATAGAGCTGGCCCTGTTGACAGACACCCGAGAATCGTGTGGCACATCTGGCCCGGCCCCTCATCTGCCACACAGTGGAATGGGAGAGGTGCCCTCCCCACCCCACCGCTCACTGCCGGTGTCAGGGGGAAGAGCCGCCCGCCCAGGAGGTCGGGAGAGGAGAGGGCTGGCCCTGCCTCTCACCAGCACTCAGGAGAGACCCTGCACCTGGTCTGGGCAACACGGTAGAGCTGGCTGGTAGACAGGTAAGGGTGAGCCAGCCCTAAGGGCGTGAGAGCAGCACGGCTGGCCCCACCCCTTGCTGCTTCTTGCTGCAGAGAGCATCTAGCCAGGGCAGTGACACAGAGCTCACTGCGGTGGTGAGGATGAGGGAGAGACGGCAGGCTGAACCACCCTGCAACCACCCAGGCCCAGCTCCAGGGCTACGAGTTGGCCCTCCCTAACATCCACCCCATCTGTGATCTGTTGGAGCACCTGAAGAGCTTAACCTGATTGGCGCACAGCAGCGGACTGGCCAGTCCTGATCTCCTGAGAGAAACTTCAGTCAGCTAGAAAAAGAAGTTCCTTCAACCAATTTCAAGACACCTCCTTCTGTTTTAGATCTATAAATAACAGTGGAGACGATGGCCTCTTCTCTAAGCTCAAGGGCAAGATAAGGTGTTTGTGTTTGCCCTGTGCAGAGCAATAGAGCAAGAAAAGGGAACAGGATGCATCAGAGTTGGAAAGAAGTATAGGTATTGCTCGTTGCAGATGACGCCATCCCGTGGTAGTCATCTGAAACAGTCCGCAGACAGCTACAAGAGCTAACGGACAGGTTCAGTGGCAAGTAAAGTTCCAATTCAGCAAGCAGTTCTCATATTTCTATAACGTGTAATAAGATAATCTGAAAATGAAAGTAAGAATTTCCATTGTTATAAAACCTCCCCAAACAAAGTACATAAGATAAATTTAACCAACGTGGTGGAAGACTAATATGCTGAAAATTACTAGAAGAATTTAAGACAACATGTATAAATGGAAATCCATCCCTTTCCCATATTCATGTACTGAAAGGCAATAGTTCTAATAATAACATATTAACAGTCACCCCCAAAGTAATCTACAAATTCAAAGCATTTTTCATCTGAGTTCTAATGCATTGTTCATAACTGGAAAAGCTCATTCATATTATCATGTGGATTTCTCAATAGTCTTGAACAGCCAAAACGATCTTGAAAAGTGAGGAATATTCAGGTCTCCAAAACAAACAAAGCAAACCTTACAGGATTGGAGAGATGGAGACATGGCTCAGCAGTTAAGAGAGAGCACTTGCTGCTCTTGCAGAGGACCAAGGTTCAATTCCCAGCACCCACATGGCAGCTCACAACTGCCTGTAGCTCCAATTTCTGGGGATCCACTACTCATGTCTGGTCTCCCTGTGTATCAGGCATGCACAAGATGCACATGCGTGTACTTGGTATGCACATGGTACATATACCTACATGCTACTAAAACACTTATATGCATAAAAGTAATATAAATACATATATAAATACATATTTTTTTTTTTTAGAAAAAGAATCTTACTACAAACTTGAAAGAATCAAGAGCATAGTATGAAGACAGACACACAGACCAAGGGAATAGGCGGGTGAATCTAGAAACAAACCCACATCAGTGGCCAAGGCCATTCCATGGACAGAGTACAATGCTCTTAACAAAGTCCTCTTAGAGTCTGTGTGCATTCACGCAAAACCCTGAGGCTGGGCTCTACAGCCCATTAAGTTGACTCAGTGAATGAGAATGGGAGGAAATACTTGTCTCTGACAGTGACAGATAGCTGGCTGGGGGTGGGGGGATGGAGAGAAGCCACTTACCGGATTAGGGCTTTTATCCTAGAGAGACCGGATGCTTTAGAATTGGATAGAGGCTGTGCTGTATAGCATTGGGAACACACTACATCTTCCTAAATCATGCACTTTCCCTTAAGTCGGCCGGCCGCTAAGTTAAAGGCAGGCAGGGCTGTAGCTCAGAGGTTGAGTGCTTGCCTAGCATGGGAAAAAGTTCTGAGTTAATCCTTAGCATCATGAAAAAAAAATTAGGTGCTCTAAAGTCAAGGGGTATGTGATCACACACAGGCTTTTCACATACGTTCCGGCAGCTTTTCTCTGACTAAAGACAGGAAGCATCCCGGTTCACTGAAGGTCAGTGGGTTAATGACCTGTGATAGGCCTGTGCATAGGGATATTACTTAGGAATGGGAAAGAAACAAACTATTTATATGTGCAACAGCTTAGGTGAATCTCAAAGGTTTATACTTAGTGACAAGCTAGTTAGTTGTTGGGGATATAGCTCAGTTAGCAAAGTGTTAGCCCAGATTGCATGAGGCCCTGAGTTCAATCCCCAGCATTGTGCCAAGAAAGCATGTTGGTATGTGTGTGATCCTTGGGAGACGGAGGCAGGAGGATCAGGAGGTTATCTGTGGCCAGCCTGGACTACACGAGACTCTGTCTCCAAAGAAAGAAGGAAGAACCCAGACAAAGAGTATTCATAGTT